GTTGTGTGCTCTTCAGGTTCCACGGTTGTGAACTCTTCAGGCTCCATAGTTGTGCGCTGTTTAGGTTCCACGGTTGTGAACTTTTCAGGCTTCATAGTTGTGCGCTGTTTAGATTCCGTGGTTGGTGGCTCTTCAGGCTCCATGGTTGTGGGCTCTTCAGGTTGCATGGTTGTGCGCTGTTCAGGTTCCATGGTTATGGGCTCTCCAGGCTGCACGGTAGTGAAATCTTCAGGTTCCATTGTTGTACGCTGTTTAGGTTCCATGGTTCCGGGCTCTTCGGGTTCCGTTGTGGACACTTCAGGCTCCATGGTTGTGGGCTCTTGAGGCTGCACGGTTGTGAACTCTTCAGGCTTCATGGTTGTGCGCTTTTCAGGTTCCATGGTTGTGAGCTCTTCAGGCTGCACGGTTGTGAACTCTTCAGGCTTCATGGTTGTGCGCTTTTCAGGTTCCATGGTTGTGAGCTCTTCAGGCTGCACGGTTGTGAACTCTTCAAGCTTCATGGTTGTGGGCTCTTCAGGCTGCATGGTTGTGCGCTGTTCAGGTTCCATGGTTGTGAACTCTCCAGGCTGCACGGTTGTGAACTCTTCAGGCTCCATGGTTGTGGGCTCTTCAGACTCCATAGTTGTGCGCTGTTTAGATTCCGTGGTTGGTGGCTCTTCAGGCTCCATGGTTGTGGGCTTGCCAGGCTGCACGGTTGTGAATTCCTCAGGCTCCATAATTGTGCGCTGTTTAGGTTCCATGGTTGATGGTTCTTCAGGCTTTATGGTTGTGTGCTCTTCAGGTTGCACGGTTGTGGGCTCCTCAGGCTGCACGGTTGTGAACTCTTTAGGCTCCATAGTTGTGCGCTGTTCAGGTCCCATGGTTGTGGGTTCTCCAGGTTCCATAGTTGATGGTTCTTCAGGCTTTATGGTTGTGCGCTCTTCAGGTTGCACGGTTGTGAACACTTTAGGCTCCATAGTTGTGCGCTGTTCAGGTTCCATGGTTGTGAACTCTTCAGGCTCCATGGTTGTGGGCTCTTCAGGTTGCATGGTTATGCGCTGTTCAGGTTCCATGGTTGTGAGCTCTTCAGGCTG